CAAAACGTATAGAGAACTAATAGCAAATGGCAGGTATGATTCCAATCATATCAGTAATTGCATTAAATGTAAATGAATTAAATGCCTCAATCAAAAGATAGAGATTGGCAAAACGGATTTTGCAAATCCATGATCAACTATATATTGTCTAAAAGAGGCATATATTAGATTTAAAGTCACAAATTTGTTGAAAATAAAAGGATGGAAAAAGACATATCATGCAAACAGCAACCAAAAGATAGCTGAAGTAGCTATACTAATATCAACAAAATACACTTTAAGACAAGTTGTTACTAAAAAAATTATGTTTTATAATGATAAAAGGGTCAATTCATCAGGAAGGTATAAAAAATATAAATGTATATGCACCTAATAAAACAGCTCCAAATTACATGAAGCAAACACCAACAGAATTGAGGGAAGAAATAAACAATTCAACAATAATTTTTGAAGACTTCAATACCCCACTTTCAATATTAGATAGAACAACTAGGCAGATCAATAAAAATGTACATGACTTGAACAACACTATTAACCAGCCTAATAGACAGTTATAGAACACTCCACTCAACAACAGCTATATGCATACTCTTCTCAAGTGCACATGGAACATTCTCCATGGTAGATCATATATTAGATTATAAAACAAGCCTCAATAAGTTTAAAATAATTGAAATAATACAAAGTATGTTCTCCACTCAAAATGAAAATAAATTAAAAATCAATAAAACGAGGAAATTTGGGAAATTCACAAATGTGTAGAAATTAACACACTCCTACATAATCAATGGGTCAAAGAAAGACTACAAGAGAAATAAGAAAATGCTTTGAAATGAATGAAAATAGAAACACAACATACCAAAATGTATGGGATGCACCTAAAGCAATACTTAGAGGAATATTTATAGTTGTAAGTGCCCATATTAGAAAAGAAGAAAGATTTCAAATACAATAATAACCTAATCTTTCACCTTAAAAAACTAGACAAAGAAGAGCTAACTATACCTCAAGCAGGAGAAGGTGGGAAATAATAAAGATTAGAGCAGAAATGAATCAAATAAAGAATAGAAAAACAATAGAGAGAATCAACAAAATTTAAAGTTGTTTTTTTGAAAATATCAACAGAATCGACAAACTATTAACTAGGCTGAGGAAGAAAAAGAGAGAGAAGACTCAATTTACTAAAATGAGAAATGAAAGCAGGACATGACTACCATCCTTACAAAAATAAGAATATTATGAAAAACCGCATGCCAAAAAATTAAATAAACTAGATGAAAGGGACACATTTCTAGAGGGAAACTGCTGAAACTTATGTGAGAGAAATTAAAATTTTTTGAATAGACTATAACAAGAGACTGAACTAGTAATTTTTTAAAATCCCATAGAGAAAAGCTCAGACTCAGATGACTTTGCTAGTGAATTCTATCAAACATAAAGAAAACATAATACTAATTCTTCACAATCTCTTCCCCAAAAATGATTAATAGGGAACACTTCCCAACTCATTCTATGACGTCAGTATTACCTTGATTCCAAAACCAAAACCATCACAAGAAAACTACAGTCCAATGCATATAGACTCCAAAATACTCAACAAAATACTAGCAACAAAATCCAACAACTTATAAAAAGATTTATACACCAAGACAAAGTGGGATTTATCCCAGGAATTCAAGATTGCCTTAACATCCAAAAATGAGTCAATGTACACTATGTTAATAGAATAAAGGACAAATGAAATGCAATCATCTCATTGGACACAGAAATAGCTTTTTGGCAAAATCCAACAAGCTTTCATGATAAAACACTAAACAAATTAGGAATAGAAGGAGACTTCCTCAATCTGATCAAGGACATCTACCAAAAACCCACAGCCAACATCATACTTCATGGTAAAAGACTAGATGCTTTGCCCTAAGATCAGAAACAAGACAAGGATATCTGTTTTTACCACTTCTGTTAAACATTGTATTGGAGGTTCTAACCAGGGCAGTTAGGCAAGAAATAAATGTTCATAAAGGCATCCAGACTGGAAAGAGGTAAAATTATCTCTATTCACAGATGGTATGACTTTTATAGAGAAAATCCCAAGGAATACACACACACACACACACACACACACACACACACACACAACACTATTAGAACTAATAACCAAGTTCAGCAAGGTTGCAAGATACAAAATCAATATATAAAAATTAATTGTATTTCTACACACTAGCAATGCACTATCTGAAAAAGAAATTAAGAAAATAGTTCCATTTACAGTAGCATCAAAAAGAACAAAAAACAACTAGGAATATATTTAATGAGTGAAGTACAAGTCCTATACATTGAAAACTATAAAAGATTGCTCAAATAAATGGAAGAAGACCTAGATAAATGGAAAGACATGACATGTTCATGTATTGGAAGGCTTAATATTAAGATGGCATTGAGCTCCAAATTGATCTATAGATTCAGTGCAATCCTTATAAAATAACCAGCTTTTGTTTTTAGAAATGGATAAGCAGATCCTAAAATTCATGTGAAATTACAACGAATCCAGAATAGTCAAAACAAACTTGAAAGGGAAGAACAAAATTGGAACACTCTTCCTCGATTTCGAAACTCACTACAAAGCTACAGTAATCAAGACAGTGTGATACTGACAGAAGGATAGACATTGAGACAAATGGAATAGAATTGTGAGTCCAGAAATAAACTCTTGCGTGTACAATCAATTGCTTTTCAACAAGAGTGCCAAGACAGTTCAGTGGGGACAAGAATAGTCTTTTCAACAAATAGTAGTGGGAAAACTGGCAAAATAATAAAGTTGGACCCTTACCTCATACCATATTAAAAAATTAATTCAAAACGTATTAGATGTAAGAGCTAAAAGTATAAAACTCTTAGAAGAAAACAGTGACTTTGGATTAGGTTCTTATGGTTTCTTAGACATGAGACCAAAAATACAGGTGAAAAAGAAAGAATAGACAAGTTGGACCTTATCAAAATTAAAAACTTTTGTGCTTCAAAGGACACCATCAAGAAAACAAAAAAGACAAATACACATCACCAGATGGGAGAAAATATTTGCCAACCATATATCTGATAAAGGATTTATACTTGGAATAAAGAACTCTTATAACTCAAAAATAAAAAGACAAACAATCCAATTAAAAACTTGGGAAATGATCTGAATAGATCATTTCTCAGGGAAGATATACCACTGGCCAAGAACACATGAAAAGATGCTCAACATCATTAGACATCAGAGAAATCAAAACCACAATGAGATACCAGTTCATACACACTGCAATTGCTATAACCAAAAAGACAATTAACAACAAGGGTTGGCAAGGATGTGGAGAAATTGGAACCATCATACACTGCTAGTAGAAATATAAAATGGGGCAACTGCTTTAGAAAACTATTTGGAAGTGCCTCAAAAAACTAAACATAGAATTACTATATGATCCAACAACGTCACTCATATATATATATATGTGTGTGTGTGTATATATATATATATATATATATATACCCAAGAAAAATGAAAACGTATGTCCACACAGAAACTTGTACATGAAGCTTCATAACAACATTATTCATAATAGCCAAAAAGTGGAAAAAACCCACATGTCATCAACTGATGAATGGATAAACAAAATGTGGTTTATCCATATGATGGAACATTACTCAGCTGTGAAAAGGAACAAAGTACAGTTTCATGCTACAGCATGGATGAAGTTTGAAAACATTATGCTAAGTGGAAGAGACCAGACACAAATGCCACGTATTCTATGATTCCATTTGTATGAAATTTCCAGAAAAGGTAAATCCATAGAGATAGGGAGTAAATCAGTGGTTGTCAGAGGCATGGGGTGGGGAAGATGGGAATTGGGTATAGGATTTCTTTTGGGGTTGATGAACATGCTCTAAAATTAGATAATGGTGATAGTCACACAACTCTGTGAATTTCCTAAAAACCACTGAATTGTGAAGTCTAAATTGGTGAATTTTATGGTTTGTGAATTATATCTCAATAAGAGTCTCATTAGAAAAAAACTAGTCACTCAGTTTCATTCTTCTGTGAAACAGTCCTGAGTTTCACAGCAAGGATAAGGCAACAGGAGGGAGAATGGCAAGGCCTGAGCTGCTATTTATTGAGCATCTCTTCTTGGCAGGCACTGCACTGGGTACTTTGCATACCTCAACTTGTTTGAATCTAGGACTAATTCTGTGAGGAAGGAATTACCATCTCCAGTTTACAGTTGGCAAAACTGAGGCACTTGCAGGAAGTGGTGGAGGCTGGATTGAAATCCAGGTCTGTGCTCTATCCCCTCTTCCAGGGGCCTGGCTACAGGGGCTCCTGCCAATGGACGAGCCTGTTCCTTTGATCCCTTTGTCCCTGGCCATGGAGTGGAGGAGACGGTGGGCACCAGCTGGCGCTTGGTCTCTGATGCCCTGTCCAACTGAGCTCTGCCTCTGGGGGCTGCGGGCTGGGCAGGGGTGTGCAGATGAGCTCAGCTCTGGCTGGTGCAAACCAGTCAAGTTGGAGGCTTGCAGACTGGGTGTATTTTTATCACAGGTCACAGGGAATTTCCCAACCAGGGGATCAATATCAGTTCATTATTCATGGGGGTGGAGTCTGGGGCTGGTAGCTGGTGGCAGCTGTGCTTAAGGACTCCTGCAGGCGTTTCCTCCTCGTAACAGTGCTTCATCCCTCCCTTCCCTCACCCTAGCTGGGTGCTTTACAAAACTTACCTCGTTTATACACGTTATCTCAAGGGTTAGTAAGTAGGGTTGATTTAAGGCCTGGTTTACTAAGGTACGGAAGGGTCGGGAGACTTACCCAAGACCACACAGCCAATAAGTGTCAGGGCGGGTTTTCAAATTGAGGTGGGAGAGAGACATCATAGTGGGTACCCCTCTTAAGGAAGTGATTTCACTTTTCCAGACTCAGCTTCTCTTCCCCCTTCCCCCTGTTCCCCCCCTCTAGCCTTCCCACTCACCTGAGCTCTCTGAGGACACTTTTCCAAGCAGTGTCAGCTGACTCTGTAAGGTGGGCAGTGATTCTTGCTTGACAGATGAGGAAAATGAGGCCCAGGGATGGAGAAACCACAAAGCAGCCCATCAGTGGCAGGGCCCCGACCAGAACTATGCTTCTCTCCCTTCTAGCTGAGCATTTTCCCCACAGCACACGGGCAGACAAACCAGTTTTCCAGACCAGCCTGGAAAGCGTGGGATGGAGGCTTTTAACCACATCCCACCTGCAAAAGCATAGGGCTGGGTCCCTCAGAAGTCCAGGCCTCGGCAGCTTCCTAAACCAAGATGCCCTAAGGGCTCATTGTCGCCCCCACCACCAGCTACACCCACCACCATCTTGGGCCCAGCTAGGGCCTTGCACAGGTTCAGAGGAGACCCTGGGGAGCATCAGTTCCCAGCTAGGCAGCAGGAACAGCTCCAGACACTGGCCCTTGGCCCCAAGTGAACTGTATTGCTGCCATCTTGGGCTTCCCCAGCAGCCACAGGCACCTTGCTCCTCCTCCCCCGCCTCCCTCAGGACCCAGGCTGCTGCCTGGAGCCAGGCAGTCCACGGAAGCCCCATCCTCTGTTCCCCCAGAGGCAGATCAAATGACCATTAAGCTTTGAGCAGATGCAGACAGTTGAAGGTGAGGGCCCAGGGCAGGAAGCATTTTGTTCTCTGCTAATTGGCCTCCTATGGTCACCAGAGAGGGTCTGGGGCCTAGAAGGGAAAAAGCCACATCAGTTCTCCATGGCTGCTCCTCTGTGCGCCGAAACCTAAGTGCTTCAGGCCTGGTGGGCAAGCAGATGTCTGGACATACCACACTACACAGCAGGGAAGGCTAGAAGGGGGGTTTGCATATGGTCTCAGCCCCTGTAGTCCAGCCTGCAGGGCCTCCCTGGGAGATGGGGGAAGGCCAGGGAGCCTGAAGGACAGGACACCTTTCAGGAGTCTGCTCTGAAACCCCGGGCTCTATTCATCCCCTCTCATGACCGCTGAGCCCGCTTCACCATTTCAGACTCATATGCCCTTATAAAGCATTGATTCCCCCACCTTCTCTCAGGGTACAGACAAGGATGCTGAGGCTCAGAGAGGGGAAAGTCTGTATTATGCAAAGCAGTGTCAGAGCTGAGATAAATCTCTACCCCCATCTCCATGCCTCACCCTGCCTGTGCCCCATTACCTCAGCTTAGAGATGCAAAGTCTTGGAAAGCAAGGATTCACCTCTGCTTTCCCAGCCCCAGTGTCTGGTGCTTCATAAATGTTCTAGACCGATGACTCCCTGATCAGAGCAGCTCCTTAGAGACCAGTTGAGCTTTGGAGAACCCTGATGACTGGCTTGAGGTGGACTGGCCCCTGGCTTCCAGGCCTGGACCTCGGCCTTGCAGCTGCCTGTATGCTCCTGGAGCAACCCTCCCGTACCCAAGGCCATCTAGTGCCCAGCTCTGCCCTCACTCTGCTGCTACAGCATCCAGGAGGCTGAAGCTCAGGCATATCTCACATCAAACCGACTCTGGTTCCCTGATTTCCCCACCTCCAGTCTCAGGCCTTGCCATGTCCCAAGCACCATCCAGGGAGGACCCACACAGGTCCATCCAGGGAGAGACCAGGGACCAGAAAATTCTTCAGGCAGGTCTTAGTCACAAAGAGGGATTGATTTTTGAAAGTCCTTTGGCCCTTGACCCCCAGACCACCACCTCACTTCTTTCTGGGTAGAGAGTGCTGTCAGTATCCTCAACCTCTGCCTCCCCACTGCCACCCAAAGGAATCTCTTCTCAGCCAGTGTCTCTCCTTCATATCCTCCTTGTAGGTTTGAGTCCTTCAGGAAACATATCTGGATCCCACTGAGAATGACCAGATTCCTGCAAGACTTCATGTTGTGGCTTCTGCTGGGCCCAGAATCAAATCAGCACTCTTGTCAGTGCCCACTGCCTGTGTCATGCCTAAGCTTGCTGTGCCCTTCAGGCACTGTCTTGCTGAGTTTCGCTACCCTTGCTAGGGCCTCTTTGGCATCTGTGTTAGTTTTCCCAGCCATTCTCTTCCCCTTGTACCCACCCCACCCTTGGGCCCAAGCCAAACTAGCCTCATACTGAGCTCTATGGATGTGGCAAGATAAATCCTTAAATGTGACAAGCACTTCGATGGCCCCCATCTCATTTGATCCTCACATCAACCTGTTGAGGTGGGGATCCACAGTCCCAGTTTACAGATAAAGAAACTGAGGCTCAGAGAAATACTCACTGGCACAAAAAGTAAAACCAGGTCTGTCTGATTCCAAAGACAGAATTTGAACAGTGGGAATGAGATGAAATGGGGCCCGGGGAAAAGCCTGGAGGTGGGGCCGCAGCAGCGTGGGCTTGGAGATAGCCTGTGTAAACCTCTGAGAAAGCTGGGGAATCACCACTGGCATTTATTGGGCACTTACTGTGTGCTAGGCATTGTCCTAAGTGTTTTATATGCATTGTCTCCTTGAATCCACACAAGACCTCTGTGATGTCCATAATATTATTGTTCCCATTTTACAGAAACTGGGGCACAGAAAGCTGAAGCAACTAACCTAAGGCCTCCCAGCAAATAAGTGACGGAGAGGGGCTAGGACCTGAACAGTTGCTCTTTCTACTTGGTGGAGACAGGAATGGATGACTGATTGGCCCTGAGAAGTTCAGAGCCTAAGTGACTGACAGAAGGCTGGATTGGTTGCAAACTGTGAAGTGCTGTGCAAATGTGCTCCAGTTGGTGTCAGAGGCCAAAGAGCCACGAACGTGAGTTTTGTTGGCAAAGGTGGAAGGGAATGGGAGCAGCTCAGGTCAAGGTTCCTCCCAGCGGTAAGGTAGCTGTGAGTGGAGGGTTAGACAGGCAGCCCTGCAAAATGGGGCCATTTGGCCAACCCAGGCACTCAAAGCTGGCTGATTCAGGGGTCCCGATCTGAATGACTGTAAGAAACCACGAGTCGGGGGTGTGAGCCAGCAGCTGGCAGCAGCCAAGGCAGTTTGAAAGAAGTGAGGGGCCAGGGCTCTTGCTGGGTAGGGAGTCAAGGACCCACTGGCCCATGGAGGTTGGAGAGGTGGCCCGGGTGAGTGTGCAGATGCCTGTCTGTGAATGCCATTTGAATTATCAGCTGGAGCTCACAGCCTTGTTCCGGGGAACAGCACACAGATGCCAGTGCCTCTGAATCCATGCTCACTGGGGGAGATCACGGGGGCAGATAGGAGAACTGGGGAGCTGGTCTTGAAGGGTGGCAGGACTTTGGCAGGCTGAGATGTGGGGAGGCATGAAGGCCTGGCGCGGCGGCCGCATCTGTGAACACCTATGGAGCGGCACCCACGCGCCCAGCCTGCCCCTCCCTTCTTTGTTATACCCAAACTCCTCCTTTATCATGGCATTGGATTTTAGTTGCTCACCCGTCTGCCTCCCTCACCCATTGGACTAGGAGCCGCACAAGGACAGGACCTGTCTTCATAGCCACAATTTATGAGGGCCGGCTCCGTGCTGGCCACTTTACATACCTTGCTTCTCTCCACGGTCTGAAAGTTCCCCGCTGTATCTCACTGAAGTCTGTAGGCTTGGAGGCCTAACTTGGTGTAGATCCCAGTGCGTTCAGCGTGGATGCCAGCGGTAGGAATGCATGAGAAATGAGCGTAGGCTTTGGTGACTCACCTTGGTCACTGGGGTGAGGCCCTGTGGTGGTATTCAGGGGTGGGGTGTGGAGGAGTGTGTGTGCGTCTGCTGGTCCCAGTGGCAGCTGACTCAGATCCCTGGGTGCCTGTGCGGAGGGAACAACGGACGGGGCCTGGCACTGAGTCTTCCTGGTTTCCCAAGGACTGGGGGGCGACAGGGTGAGTTCTGCTCTGCTCCTCTCCCCTGGGATCCCCAGGGTGAAGCCCTGCACACCACCCCCACCCCACATCATCCCAGCTACTCTTCCTTCCTTAGCCCCAAATGAAATCTTATCAGCATATTAATAGGACATTATGGTTTCTAATGAGAATCAAGAAAACATTTATGGAACAGATTAAAGACAGCTCCACCCCATTAAACATCCCTGAGTCTTCCCTGGGGATCCTCGGGTGGGGGAGGGGTGGAGTGGCTGGGAAGAGGGGAGCTGTTTTCTCTGCTGGCCCCACAAGAGGGAAAGCGGGGAGAGAGAGTTACAGGGAGAGGAGCTAGACCTAGACCACCAGGCCCCTGCTCTCCTTTTTTTTCTGGGTTCCAAGTTAAGAGTTGCACCTGCAGACAATGGCATTGCCATCATCCTAGTCCCAGAAGGCTCCTCGGGGCAAAGAGGCCTGATGCCTGGTGCCAACAGGTCCACCACCCCGGCTGGGACTCTCATCTCTAAACAAGGACCCGACTGGGCATCTATTCTGTGCCAGGCACCACGTGGGGCACTTCCCCACACGGGATCAAACTGAATCCATAAAACAACTGTGCAAAGCAGATGTCTGCCTTCAGTTGGCTTTAGACATGAGGCTCAGAGAAGGGAAGCAACTTGCCCAAGGTCACACAGCAACTCTGGGATTCTAATCTCAGTCTGTCTGGTTCTAAAGCCCACGTTCTTTCCTTTACACCACGAAGTTTAATGAGAACCACCTCGGTATAAGTGACCACATTATGTCCTGGGCTTCACCTCCCAACCTCCTACTTCTTCCTCAGAGGCTGGGTGGCATCACGGAAAGCATGAGATGATGGGGATAGAAAGATCTGGATTTCAATTCCATCTCTGCTGTGACCTAGCTGTGTGACCTTGGAAAATCTCGCTTAACCTCTCTGAATCTCTGTTTTCTCATCTGTCAAAAGAGGCTGGAACTCCAGGGTCCTGGGTGAAGACTCAATGAGAAGTACATACTTGAGAAACATTTGCCATTAGCACTACACTTTATTCCTCGTTTTATTTTTCATGTGTCAAATGGGGCTAATGTTGACCACCCTAACTGCTTCTGTGGGCTGAGGGGGGGCGTGGCAAGACTAAGGGACGCAGTGCAAGCCACGGATTGCTACCCATATATAAGGGTTATTGCCAGCAGCCCTCTTTATCTTCAGCCAAGCTGGTGAAAGTGCCCTGTGTGCCACAGGCAGGACAAACAAGATACGTGGTGGAGCTGGCCCAGGCTAGGACCCTAGACTCAGGAAAGGAGGAGGAGGTAGCGTTTTGAGACATTCCTTAGAAGGCATCTCTCGGTGCCCCAGTGTCCTTGGTACTTGGCTCCCCAAGCATGGGAAAGCGACAGGAGGAAACCCCTGCCTTGTGATAGTATACCCCTTCGCCACTGCTCTTGCCTTGCGACACTGCTGCAGCCAGCCAGACCTCCTTGCTACCCCTCAGTCATGCCAGGCACGCTCCAACCTCAGGGTTTGGTGTTTGCTTTTCCCTTCGCCCCAGTCTCCTCAGGCTGGCTCCCTCAGTGCCTTTGGATTTCTGCTGAAATGGTCACCCTATTTAAATTTCCTCACAGAGCTCTCCTACCCATCCCACCTCACCCCCTGCACTCCTGTCCCCCTTACCACTTTTTCTTCAGTGCACTTATCACCTTATAATATGCCCTAGAATTTACTTATTTGTCTTATTCCTTGTCTATCAGCTCTCCCTGGAATGTGAGCTCCATGAAAGCAGCAGTCTTTGATTTGTTCCCTGCCGTGTCTCCAGTGCCTGGAACAGTGCTTCGTACTAAATAAATACTTATTAAATGAATGAAATAGCCCCTGGAGACTCTTCCAGATCAGGCCTGAACTTGTATTGTCTCTGTCCAAGCTGGACATCTTTCTCTCCTGGAAGGAAAATCTTGCTCTGGGTTTGGTTGTTCATTTATTCATTCATTTAATGTGTGTGTGTGTGTGTGTGTGTGTGTGTGTGTGTGTGTGTGTGTAAACACACATGCCAGGCACTGTTCTAGGTGCTGGGGTTGTAGCAGAAAACCAGCCAGACATGGTCTCTGCCCTTAATGAGCTTCGATTTGGGAGTGTGGGGAAGACAACCAACAAACTGAAGAACATAAAACAGTGTGATAGACTGGAGTGACTGTGTAGTCAGGGAAGGCTTCTGAGAAGAGTGACATTGGAGCTGATACCCTCATGATGAGATGAAGCCAGCCAGACCATATTCCAAGGACAGAGCGTTCCAGGTGGAAGGGCCACAAGGGCAAAGAGTGAGGGGCCAGAGTGCCAAGCATGAGCGAGGTGTCTTAGACTTGATCTGCATCTCATGCGTCACCTTTTTGGAAGGCGTCTTGGAAAGCCAATGCAACATCCCGCCTGGAGACACACGTGTGTGTCGGTTACCTACAGTCATGTGCGAGTGTGTTTATGTATGTGTGGTGTGTGGTTGTGGATCTGGGGAGGTGGCATGTGTTCCTGGACAGATGGCAGGGTTCAGTATGGGCAGCAGCTCCTGGAGAGAGAAAAGTATGGTGGAAAGAGGACAAAACTTGGGTTGCAGAGGTCCTAGTCCTGTGCAGGCTGCACTGCAGGCTCACATCTAATGTAAATTGCATATGTAATTTTGGCCAAGTCCCTTTGCCTCTCTAGGCAGGTGTCACCATCAGTAAGATGGGAGCGGGTAGTGTGGGCCCCTCCTGTATGCCAACCTCTTCCTTTTGCCTGCCACTGTGAGGAAGTAGCATCTCCTCAGTCACAGCCAGAGTGGCAGAGGTGGCCACAGGTGGGGTGGCATTTGACGGCTGGAAAGGATGATGGCTGGGTCCTATGCTGGCTTGTGTCTGGGTCCCCCACCCCTTCCCTCCAAGTGCTCATTTCTTCCCTTGCTGGGGAGGCCCTTCTCCAGAGGCTGGCGCACAGATGCTGAGCTTCTCGGGTTCCCTGCTGGGTCTCACTGAGCCAAATGCCTCAACCTCGCCGGGACTGCTCCTTTCCCGCCGCCAGCGCCAGCGCCAGCGCCAGATCCCCTCCACCCTACGTCGCTCTCCCTGCTCTTCTCTGAACTGCCTCCAGCTTGGCTGCATCCCTGCGATAATGAGGTGTCTGCGACTGAATGCAGTGGGCTCGGCGGGGCAGGACAGCAGGCCAGAGGCCCAGGAGACAGGCTGCAGCAAGCATAGAGACTGCCCCAGCTGGGCTTGGCATCCACCAGGTGCCCCCCACTCCGCACGCCAGCCCCAGTGTCACCCTAGGCCCCACTGCCCAGATACCAGGGCCAAAGGCTCAAGATGAAGAGAGGCCCAGTTGTGAAAAATCCAGCTCCACGATGCTGCTGCTGTTGATGATAGGAGGAATCTTGAGTTTCAAAGGGATGCCCCGCTCATAACCCCTCATATCTGGACAGCATGTCGGTGTTTACGAGGCACTTTCACTCATTCTGCAAACGTTTACTGAGTGCAAACTCAGTGCCAGGCCCCATGCTGGTCAGGGGGAGACGAGGAGCAAGATGGGGAGCTCTGTGTCTAGTGGGGAGACAGACACGGAAATGGGCCGTGAGGGTATGTGGGAGTCAGAACTTGGACGAGGGGTGCAATAAACGAGGGGATGGGGTGCCCAAGCCAGTCTGGGAGGGCAGTGAGGGTCAGGGTAGGTGGGGAGGTTTCACCAAAGAGGGAACCTTTGAGTCATCCTGAAGAAAGAGCGGGCTTGAGGCAGGCAAGGGGGGGTGAGGGTGGGAAGGGGGTGTCCTGTGCATAGGGAATAGCCTGAGGAGCCCAGAGGACATCTTGCTTAATCCTCAAAACAACCCCAGAAGGCAGGCATTCTAGTTTCCCTTTTACAGATGGGGAAACAAAGGCCCAGAAGCGGTAATAATGCTTTGCCTCTAGGGCAGTGTTAGTTTGGAAAAACTGTTTCTCATCCATCCTCTCACTTTTCTGCTCACACTAACGCTATGATATAGAGACTTTATCTGAACCTCATAGATGGCAAAACAGGCTCAGGGAAAGAAAGCGGCTGGAGACACAAGCCCTCAGCTTTTCCCAAGTTTGCCTGAGTTTCCCTAGTTGGAGAAACAGCATTTGGAGAGGCAGGGGGATCTAAGGGAGGTGGTAACACAAAGCCATACCCCTTGATCCTTTCTTCTACCCTATCCTATTCTCCACCCCGTACCAGCCTCTCCTCCCGAGGCTGATCTTCCCCGTGGCTGGAGCAGAGTTTAGGTAAGAAACCACTTGTCCACACCCCACCCTGCCATTCAAAGAGGACGGCTGGAGTATTGGTATTTTCGTGAATTATTCAGGAGCTGTGGCTGGCAGGATGGGGGCTGGGAGGAGGGTGGGAGCAGGTGCTCCCATATGCCAAGCATGGCAGCTGCACAGGAAGTGACCCCGAAGGCCGGACCCTCATCAGCTTCTTGGCCTCGCTCTCTCTCCACTCCGAGAGAATTCACAAGCTTGTGGTGCAGTGGGGAGAGGGTGCTCGGTAGGGGTAGGTAGGAGGAGGGAACAGCCTGAAGGTGATGGGTAACATAGGTCCCAGATCCTGAGGGTTTCTAGTGTGCTACACCTTAGCTCCTTTACACCTCACCAACCTCTGTGCTATTGTTGTTATAGATGAGGAAAGAGAGTGGGGAAGTAGCTTGCCTAGAGTCTGTAATAGGCTGAATGTTTGTGTCCCCCCAGAATTCACAGCCCTAACCCCTAACGTGATGGTATTAGGAGGAGAGGCCTTTGGAGGCTAATTAGGTTTCGATGAGGTCATGAGGGTGGGGTCTTCATGAGGGCATCAGTGCCCTTATAAATGGAGACCTGAGACCTTGTTCCCTCCTCACTCTTGCTCACTCAACACCTGCACCCCCCCCATGTGAGGACACAGCAAGAAGATGGTCATTTATAAGCCAGGAAGTGAGCTCTCACCAGACACCAAATCTGCTGGTGCTTTGATCTTCGATTTCCCAGCCTCCATAACTGGGAAAAATAAGTGTTTGTTGTTTAAGCCATCTAGTTTATGGTATTTTTTTTTTTTTTTACAGCAGCCTGAACTAAGACAGGCCTCACGGCAAATAAATGGCAATTCCAGAATCCAAGCTCAGGTTTGCGCACTCCAGACCACAAACACCATTTCCACTGTTCTACCCCTTGACTTGGGACCTGGGTGTCTGGGATTTGGGCCCCCAGGAGGACAACCTGCTCCTCGGGCACTCCCTTCTCAGTGACCCCCTGGCCGCTCAGGGCCCCACCAAGGTCTGAGATCCAACCCTCCCTTCATTAAAATAACTCCTGGGGGGCTGGTTATGGGCTTCCAGAAGCACAGTTACCAGGTGTGGAATTACAGGTGAGTGGGAAAGAGAGTCTGGGGTCCCAGGCATGGGGAGGTCGTCAACCTCTTCCACAGAGGCCTTCGAGTGTGGAGAGGTTTTTTAAGGTACTGTTAAAAATGCAGCCGCTGGAGTTAGGGTCGTCGGATCTAGCAACTAAAAAAACAGGATGCTCAGTTAAGTTTGAGTTTCAGACAAACAACAAACACTTTTTAGCAGAAGTGTGTCATTTTTAGTATCAGTATGCACTAAAAATGTATTCGTTGTTTACCTGAAATTCAAATTAAACTCAAGGGTTTTGTATTTTCTCAGGCAAACCTACCTGGAGCCAAACCACCTGGGCTTCAATACCAGGCAGGCTACTACCTAGCTGTGTGGCCCTTGGGCAAGTTAGTAACCTCTCTGTGCCTCAATTTCCTCACCTGGAAAGGATGGCTGAGAAGTTTAAATGAAGTGATAAGATGAAAAGCATTTCACAGCTGTTTTTATTTACTTTTTCCTTCTTTATCTGTGGATTCCCTCCATGGATTGCCCCCGTCCCCAGATGCTCCTTTGGCTCCTTATTCTTCCTGGAGTGTGGCCCCCAGGCCATCACAGCCCTACAAGATCCTCACTATTCTTTGTCTCCTTTCACAGATGGGAAAGTGGAGGTTTAGGATGGTGAATACACTTGCCTAGGGTCACCCAGTCAACCCTGGACTCTGGGCCTATCTGACCCTAACCACCCTCCACTCTGCATTCCTCACCTTCTGCATCCCCCTCCCTTGGGCCCAGGTTCTAGCTTACTGAGGGGGAACCCCTGCTCAGGTCTGGGAGCATGTGTAGGCAACAGCGGCTTGAGAGAGGAGACCTGGGGCCCTCCAGGCTGACGGGCTCCCTGGGTGCAGCCGGAGCACAACCCATCTCTGGGTGTCCCTCCCCCTGCATCCCTCCCCAGCCAGGACCACGCCGATGGCTCTATGCTGCAGCAAAATGCACTTCTCTCCGATATGCCCAGCTGCACGTCCACTATGCATGCTAATCAGCGTCCAGTGCTTGCTAGCAATTTGCTTCAGTTCTGGGGCTCATTCTGCGTTTATTTATTTTTTATATTTATACCTTGTGTGCAGAGATGGCTGACTTGGAGTGGGAGCAGGGTCTGGGGAAAAGGACCAGCAGAAATGGGAGAAGTAAAGAAGCCAAAAGCTAGAAGCCAGGAGGGAATTCAGGGGTCATCTTTGCCATCCCTCTGCCTCCTGACCATACTGCACCTAAAGGAGAACAGAACTTAAAAGGATAACATGCAACCCTTCTAGAGTATTCCTGGTAGGCCTGGGAGGTGGGCCCAGCAAGGATTAGCAAGCCCATGTTAAAGAGGAGAAAATCAGGGCTCTGGGGGTAATGTGATACATTGATTCTTCCAACCCAGATCTTTTGACTATAGACAATAAAGATTAAATAAATAAAGATTAAATGAATAAAGAGGCTTCATTTTGTCTCCCCACCTCATGTATTGAGGA